CTCTGTCCCTACTTATAGTAACCTAGGCCGAACAAGAACCCACACTATCAATCTCTTTCTCCTGCCAGCTCTTCTCTGATTTTGCTTTCTTGCATCCTACCTTTTCCGGATTAGATAGCGAGCTGGATGCATACCCCAGTCTAGCAACAGAAAAGTTATTTTGGAAGAAGAAAATTCTTTTTAGCAATATCTTCAGACAGCAATTGTAAATGCAGACTTGGCATAGTTAAAACCAGGAATCCTGTCATCAAGCAATAAATCCAAAGGAAACGCAGAAGGGTAGAATTCTGAGTTTGGCAAAGTGAGGTCAACCCAACAGAACTGAGGCTTCAGAGTTGTTCTCGGTGTTTTCTTCCAGAGAGTGTATGAAGCAGCTAGGCGCAGACTCCCCCCAGCTAAGCTGTGTTACTCCTTAGGGTCTATTTTTCTGCTGGCCTGTTTCTTGAAAGCCCCGCTAGCCTGTGGACTCAGCCCTCTGCTCTTAGATCTATGAAGATGCCTCTGCTTAGAACTGGGCAGCTGAACCTCAGAGACTGAGAGGCTGTCAGTGGATGCCAGCAGAGTCCTGCAGTTTGCTGGATCCACCTCTGCCAGAGTAAAATTACTGGCTCTACCCTGCTGGAATCATCCCACACCAGGTGTACAATCAGTAGAGCAGTGGTTCTCAACCTTTTTAATGCCGCGACCCCCAACCGGTCGTAAGTCGAGGACTAAACCGGTCGTAAGTCGAGGACTACCCAACCGGTCGTAAGTCGAGGACTTTCCCTGCCCGGGAGCACCACGCATGCGTGGTTCCGCCCCCTGCGCCGGCCGAGGCGTAGCTGGCAAGCGGCAGAGATGGAGCAGGCCGACCACCAGCTGGCCCAGCCCAAGGGAGGTAAGGCACCCGCCGGAAAAGGGGGGAAAATGGACAAAAAAAATGGCGGACAGCCTTGCTTGGCGACCCCCGTGAAATGGTCGATCAACCCCAAATGGGGTCGCGACCCATAGGTTGAGAACCGCTGCACTAGAGGGTCCTAGCTGTACTTCCTCCCCCTTCTTCCTTTGAATACATGTCAAACAAAATTTTACCTAAGGAATCTTAAAGTTGTCCTTAGTTGTTCTGAGGTGTTAAGAGCTGTGTTTCCCCCCCCCTTTCAGGAGCTAACAAGCCATGTCAATTTGGCCATGGATGCAACGAGAAGTCATTCAATCAGGTGACCCTTATAAAATGAGAAGAGCCCCAAAGTAACTTTGCCACCACTGCTAATTCAAACAGCAAAGATTATAGGCTGGCAGCAAAAGAAGAGTCAGCAGCAGCCATCAGCCCAGCTCCTCTAACTGGCTATTTTTTAAAAAAAGTTTTATTAGTTTATAATATACGATACAATCCAAATACAAAGTAAATAGCGGGAAGGATGGGGAAGAGAAAAGGGATTAGAGAAGTGAGGTAAGGGAGAAAAAAAGGAGGAAAAAAGGCATTGACTTCCAACTTCCTTTGGTGCAATAGAGTATCAACTTCAAACCTCAACTTTTTACTTTTACAAAATAATATAAACTAGCCATTTCAATAACATCAAATCTATCTAATTGGTAAATTAGATTGGGTTATTTTATCTTAACTCCAGACAATTCGATTGAAATGGATCTCTTCTCCATGGCTGCATTTGAGCCCCACCTATGAGTTACAGGCAACAGCTTCTTTCTCTGCAGATGTTTAGAGATAATTTACAGCTCCTCAGTTCTAATGTTATCTGCTTATTTATGATCAAGTTAATCAATATATTAAAAACATGCTAATTGACTCCTGTTTGTTTGCCACCCCACCTAGTGCAAAATGGCTGGTGACATTTTCTGGGAAGGAAGAGAAACAGCTGGGAAAATCCACTAATTTTTGTTCTTAACATGCCCAGTACAATGTAAATAAAGATCTCTGTCATTTGCCAGCATCAAGCCGACAAATGGGTCAAAAACTGGTACACAGAAGTTAAACCAAGTTGCAAATAACAATTCTACATCAAGGCATTTCTCTCCACTTTACAAGTAACAGTTAAACAGAAAAGTACTTGAAAAGAAAAATATAATACCATATTTATTTATTTTTTGCAACTACACTGCACTAGGTGGCCTCCCCATTCAACATGCTGTTTGGACATAATAATTGGATACTAAATTGTGACCCATCAACCGGGGTTTTTTGAAAAGATATGTTACTGAAGACACAGTCAGCATTCAGACTGAAGCATGAGGTGTTGTTGTTGTTTTTCCAAAAAGTAAAGTTCGGAATGATACACATGGGAATATCTGCTATAGGGAGATGGGAGCCAACAATCACAATGTTCATATCCAGCAAATTCTGAATTGATGGGAGGGACCAAATACTGAATTGAATATGAGAATAGATACAGGCAGGAGGAGGAGTTTGAATAAAGACAAAGGGGGACATGATAGCAGTGTTCCAATATCTCAGGGGCTGCCCCAAAGAAGAGGGAGTCAAGCTATTCTCCAAAGCGCCTGAAGGCAGGACGAGAAGCAACGGATGGAAACTAACCAAAGAGAGAAACAACCTAGAACTAAGGAGAAACTTCCTGACAGTGAGAACAATTAACCAGTGGAACAACCTGCCTCCAGAAGTGGTGAATGCACCAACACTGGAAGTTTTTAAGAAGAGACTGGACAGCCATTTGTCTGAAATGGTATAGGGTTTCCTGCCTGAGCAGGGGGTTGGACTAGATGACCTCCAAGGTCCCTTCCAACTTTATCATTATTATTATTATTAGCTCTTCCTCCCTGAAGAACTACAAAGAGGGGACTCTGCAGAAGAATATTGCTGAGCTAAAAGCAGGATTCTGCCCAAGCCTGTCACCTGTTCTGTTAGTAGGTAAGAATGACATGGAAACAAAGACTTGAGACGACCACAGGCATCTTGACAGCAATGATGAAAACCCTGCCATCCTCAGTTCTGTTGGAGTATATGCCAAATGGAAAGCCTTCATCACATGGAGCACACAATCACAACATATGAATAAGTTAGTAGAAGAAGCTTATTGTCATCAGCCTTCCTCGTGGGAAAGTCATATTTACTTACAGTAATGGTTTCATTATGGAATCTGAGTTATCTTGTATGTATGCTGTCAGAGTTAATAGCAGTCATTTGTAATGTCTTTGGTGCCATAGGGAGAGAGAGAAAGGAAATGTAGATTTTTCCATCTTTAAATAAATAAACACATTTTCTTCCTGCTGCATAGAAACTTTGGCACAACCGATGGCAGTCTCAGTTTCCTAGCTCTTGTTTCCTCCCACCAAAGTAGATATCTGGCAGCCATTTAAAACCATACTAGATGACTGATATTAAGTAAACTACAAGTTTAATATATGGGAAAATAAAGAGTGATGCTGACTCTAGGATCACCCGAATTCATGCGTTCTACAGTAGATCCACAATGGAGCTTCAACAGCCCAAGGCCACAGATCCAAACTTGCAGAATTAGCAGTTGAGAAATATAAAGAATGCCCTTTCTTATTTGGGGATTAGGAAGGCTTTCATTTGGTATAAACTTAGATAGAAATTTATCCATTTTGCAGTTGATCAATATCTAATCGGGACATAATTTTCCTTCATTCCTAAATTCTTTAAAAAAAAAAAATTCTGATGGAATTTGTCCCAAACAAAACCATACCCACAAATGCAACTATTGTGGGGCTATATATATATTAAACAACTTGCAGAGCTTAATTCTGTTAGGTAGAAATTTCTGAAGGCAGGACGAGAAGCAACGGATGGAAACTAATCAAGGAAAGAAGCAACCTAGAACTAAGGAGAAACTTCCTGACAGTGAGAACAATTAACCAGTGGAACAACCTGCCTCCAGAAGCGGTGAATGCTCCAACACTGGAAGTTTTTAAGAAGAGACTGGACAGCCATTTGTCTGAAATGGTGTAGGGTTTTCTGCCTGAGCAGGGGGTTGGACTCGATGACCTCCAAGGTCCCTTCCATCATCATCATCATCATCATCATCATCATCATCATCATCATCATCATCATCATCATCATCATCATCATTATTATTATTATTATTATTATTATATTCATATGTGAAAGAACTATGATCTTTTATGCACAAATGGACAGGAATGAACCATCAGAAGGCTGGGGGTTTAATTTAAACATTTTTGGAAATCCATGGACCATAATGGGTCAATAGATAAAGATGGAATTCTCTGGGGGGTTTTTTTGAGGGGCGTGGGAGAAGCTTTTTAAAAAAGTTTATTCTATGAGTTTCCTAACTCTGTTACTGATTTTCAGCAATAGTGATCAGAGGCAGTCTATAGGCCTGCAAAGCATAGCTGACGAGGGAATTCTGGGAGTTGAAGTCCACACGTCTTAAAGTTTTCAAGGTTGAGAAATACTGTTCCAGATAGTTCAGTGATGGCGAACCTTTTAGAGACCGAGTGCCCAAACTGCAACCCAAAACCCACTTATGCATCATCGGGTGCTGGGTGGGTGTGGCCCATTGAGTGGGCGTGGCCCATTGGGTGGGCGTGGCTGCAGTGGTAATGGCAGACTGGGTGGGACTAAAAAGTTCAATCGATCAATTCCAACTTTGCAAGATCTTTTTTTCCCCCGCAAGAAGTTGAAATTGACTGATTGATTGAACTTTTTTTTTTGTACACAGCGGTGGAGGTCTAAAGCGAAAAGGTTTTATAAAACCCAGCGACGGCCCGCGTGCCCACATAGAGGGCTCTGAGTGCCGCTTCTGGCACGTGTGCCATAGGTTCGCCACCACTGAGATAGTTCATCCTTGAACAAAGAACTTGTAAATAATATGCCTGAAAGCCAAGTGAAAAATGGCTGATTCCACCAGAATGGAAATGTCAACAATGCTTTGTATCTTCCGAATGTGAGGCCATCTCAGAAACATATTCAGCAAACAGAAATGAGTGTGAAAACTCTTAAAGGAATCCCTGGTTGGCACACTAATGCAATCCAAACAGAAAGATAAAAAGAAATGTCTACTTACACATAAAGCACACTTTTCTGGTCTCCAACCTGGCCTCCATCTCCCACAGTTAATGTATCATATCCTCTCTCCAAGTCAAATTCTTCAAAATTGAGTTTGATTACCTAACAAAGACATAAATCATTAGGCTGGTTGATTACATTGTTAGGGCAGAATCAGTTCATGCAACAGATGCCACAAATAGGCAACGTTCTTTTAGAGTTGACAGGATTTTTAGTTCTGACTGGAAGATTCTCAGATTCACATCTCTCCAAATCACGACGATAATGTAATAGACCTTGAGCAAACTACATCTGATGGTATGACTCAGTACATAAAACTGTTCTAAAAGTGAACATATGAGAAAATGGGTTATGTAAGTGCTTAGAAAGGTCATACTGGGAACCAACTCAAATAAACTTCCCAGTGTACAGATGCCATACCTGAATTCTAAATCACATTGTTTTCATGGATTTCCACTGACTCAATATGTACAATGATTTAGAATAAGGATGAAGAATTTCTGATTCATTAAGGCAGGGGTCTTCAAACATGGCCCTTTTATGACCTGTGGACTTCAACTCCCAGAATTCCTCAGCCAGCGTGCTTGGCTGAGGAATTCTGGGAGTTGAAGTCCACAAGTCATAAAAGGGCCAGGTTTGAAGACCCCTGCATTAAGGTATCCCACCAAGCCCATGGAGTAGCAACTGAAACTTTATTCCACCAATCCTTCATTGGAGAAACATACTATCAACAAGAGTTTGCTGAAAGATTCCAGTGTCCGGAAAGTGATAAATGAAGGTGATTTCAGATGAGAATAGCTTCAATTATCATTTGCTTTGCCCAACCCATCTACTTCATAAAAAGAGAAGCTGGTAAAGGAGAAGTCGAAGATATCTCACATGTTTTATTGTACTGTGAGCTATACCAAGTTTATAGGACAGTATATATTCTCCCCTTATTGGAGAGATTGCCAGGGAGGGCAGACAATTTTTATGTAGGCTTTCTCCTCCAGGACTCAAACCCTTCTATCACGCATGCAGTGGCAAAATACTGTGTTGCGGCAATGTCCACAAGAAAAAAAATTGGTTACAGATCTATAGTCGTCAACTTGTGCCAATTTTTGGGAGATATCTCTAATAATGTTTGGAACATTATATTTACTCACACATTAATCGGCTATCCACTCACGTAAACTAGGGAGTGACCCTAACATTTTGAGAACATGTATTTTCTTAACAGGGATGTTATTATTTACTATTAATGTTAGTACTATT